CTTGTGACCCCTTGTTCTCCCCCACTTTGCCTATGGGGGTGTGTCAGAACATTATAGCTCATGCATATTGTATAGGCTATAGTGGGGTAGCCCATAAGGGGTACAACCCAATTAGGGTTATTACTTGTACCCAATTCATTCATAGTTCATTCATTCCTTGTTTCTTCTCAGCAGGTAGGCGCCGGGGCCGGAAAGGGCGGCGTCAGGGCCGCAGGGCGGCGCGAGGGCCGCTGGGTAGGCGACGAGGCCGCAGGGCGGCGGATCGGGGCCGGGTATGGGCGGCGCGATGGCCGCGGGGTAGGCGACGAGGCCGCCGGGCGGCGGGTCGGGGCCGGGAATGTCAGAATATTATGCTCTAGCCTGTAGTGGGGTGCTCTATAGCGAGTACAACTCTTCTAGGGTTTTGCTATTTGTATCCCCATTCTTGCTAGTGCATCCCTCTTCTTTCTTCTATACTTTAACATGCTATCAGAGCAGGTCGATCCCCTTGGATCGATCCTGTGGGTGGGCTCACCACCTTGTTGCTTCCGCTGCAACTGCTACTGCTACTCTCTGTGCCGCACGCCCCGTGGCGTGCGGCAGTTTTTCTTCCCGCCGTGCGCCCCGAGGCGCGCGGCGGTTTTCTGCCCGCCGTGCGCCCCGAGGCGCGCGGCGGTTTTTTTCTGCCCGCCGTGCGCCCCGAGGCGCGCGGCGGTTCTCTGCCCGCTGTGCGCCCCGAGGCGCGCGGCGGGCTTCTGCCCCGTTGCTCGGCGCGTCGCCCTCGGGAGGCGCTGCGACGGGCGACGGGGACCCGCGCGTCCCCCCCCCGTCGCCCGTCGTGGCCTGCGCGCGGCCCCTGCAGCCCCGTCGCGCCGCCCAGGGGAGCCGCGCGCGGCCCTGCTGCCCCGTCGCGCTGCCCAGGGGAGCCGTGCGCGGCCCCTGCTGCCCCGCCCCGTCCCGGACCTGCCCCGGCCCCGACCTGCCCCGGCCCAACTCCCGTCGCCCGTCGCGGCGCCCTGGGGGGGGCCGATGCAGGGGGCCGCGCGTCCCCCCCCCCCCCCCCCCCCCCCCCCTACCTCCCTACCCTGTTTTTAGGGTTTGGGGGGTGGCGGTTGGGGGGTGGCAGTTGGGGGGTGGCGGGTTTGTGTTTATCCCTTCTCCTCCTCCTCCTCCGTCTCCCTGTGCTGCAGCTGCCGCTGAGGGGGGGTGGACGTGTTGGAGCCGGTGGAGTGGTACTAAGGGGGGGTGAAGGGGGAGTGGAGCTAGCGGTGTAGCAGCGGGTGTGTGCCAGGGGGGAGTGGGATAGTTTGGGGAAGCTGAATGGAGGTTGCCGTCGTGTCGCCAGCAGCACCTGTATTCCGGGGACTTCGTCCGGTAGCCCAGTCGTAGCCAGCTGTGCCAGCCGCCCGTGGGTCCGTTGCTCGTCTGCCGCTACTTTAGCCGCGGGGCCTGTTACTCCTGTATTCCGGGGACTTCGTCCGGTAGCCGCTGTGCCAGTCTGCCTCCTGTTGCCCGTGTGTCTGCAGCTTCAGCCGTCGCCTCCTATCTCCTCTCCTCTCACTCTCTCTCTTCCTCCTCACTTGCCCGTTGTGACTACCACTAGCTTTGCTCATAATTGTGAACTTAAACTATTGCTTCTTGAACTTGTGCTCAGAATGTGTGGTGACATTGTGATCCACCCTGAGCTTGTTTTCTTTTGCTTGCTCTGCTGATTACACCCCACTTTGGCTATGGGGGTGTGTCAGAATATTATGCTCTAGCCTGTAGTGGGGTGCTCTATAGCGAGTACAACTCTTCTAGGGTTTTGCTATTTGTATCCCCATTCTTGCTAGTGCATCCCTCTTCTTTCTTCTAAACTTTAACAGGGAAGGGCGGCGCGAGGGCCGCAAGGCAGGCGACAGGGCCGCTAGGGCGGCGCGACGGGGCGAGAAAAAAAAGGAGGGGGGGGGGGGGGGCGCGACTCGGGCTAGGACTGAGCGCGCTCCGGGCAGAAAAAAAAATGTCGAATTGGTGGGCCCTAGGAACAGTTCCCACGAGGGAACCTGCTCTGATACCATGTTAGAATAGAAACGAGAAATGGATGGACTAAGGGAAAGTTGGGTACAAATGTAAACCCTAGAAAACTGTACCCCATATGTGCTACCCCACTATAGCCTACAGTAGCTATGTCATAAAATCTGACACGATTTGCAGGCCGGTTCGGAAAAGTTGTAAAATTAAAAGTTACTACAGTTGTTGGGTTTTTGCGACCGGGTCGCACATTTGACGGCGATATTTATCATTTAGACGAGATCACGAATACTGTCGTTCGGCGATGCCGTACGTACGAGGTCGCAGGCAATCGTTGCACACTGCGTCGACAACTTGGCCGTTTGGAGTCGACTCGGCGTCGTTTTCGTGTCGACTGCTTAAACGGCCATCAAATTCGTTATCTTTTTAGCGAGATTCACTCGCCTCTCATTTGACGAATGTCGCAGACTGGTTACCTTCGGAAAAACGGCTCGACGGATTGTGGCCAGGGCTTACTTTATCAGACATTTTTTGTATGAATTTCTGGATTCTGAACACATTTTTACTGGTTCATCTGATGTCGTATGCATGCTGTTTAATTTCGTCTGATTCTTAAGAGAAGCTTTTTCTATTCATCTGATTTCTCAGACAGCCTTATACAGTTTGTCTGAGACTGCAGATATCGAGTCTTTTTTGTCTGAAGGCATAACTCTCGAAGGATGTATGCACCTGCCTAGCAGAAGCAAGAGACAAGATTCGAACCGGAAACCTCAATCTTCACAACTCCCTATTCTACTGGCTAAACCATTAGGGCTGAGATGTGATTACCATATTTATATTCGGATAGTATATTGCTTGCTAGCTTCATATCTTCTCAGAAATCTCAGACAAGTATTTAGGATTCGTCTGAAAAGCTAGACAATGTTACAGCTTTTGTCTGACAATCAGACAAGGAGCCAGGACCCGGTCTTGACATCAGACCAGGGCTCTCGCTAGGATTTTGGCCTGTCTGAAAACCGGAACCCAAAAATCCGTTTCGTCTGACGTTCGGACGGGAAATTTTCGCCTGTCTGTCTTTTCAGATGACATTCCATTGCATGTCTGAAATCTCAGACGAATCTTTTTCCGCGTCTGATGTTGCAACTTGCATCTTGATGACGCAGCAGCGGTGCGTTAGACTGCACGTTAGTGGACAGGACTGTGAGGCGTGGGGCTCGAGAGGGGAGTGGGGCTGGACTAGGGTAAGAGCGAGCAATGTGGGGGAAGGGTTGGGCTGGGAAAGGTATGTGAGAGTTGGGGGGGGGGGGGGAGGACTCTACTGGAAGATGTGCGACAGTGCGAGGGAGTTGGGTGAAGTGCTGGGCTGGAGTTGGTAGGGTGGCTAGGCTGGTAGAGGCAAGGGGGACTTACGGTAGCGCTTGGCTGGCGGACATGGGGGGCGGTAGGGGGGGGGGGGTGGTGGCTTGGCTGGGCTGGTAGAGGCGAAAGGGACTTGGTTCGGCCATTATCTCCGATACTCAGATTTTGCCTGAGCGCGTTCTCAGGTGTAATCAACTTGGACTTTCTCAACGTTGATTGGTCATCGCTTTTTAGTCACATTTCTCACGCTGGTCGAACTCATTAGGAAGTGACAAAAAAAAAACCATTCACTTTACCCTCCCGACCTGGATAAATGTACGGAAATTAAGGTAGTAAGAGAATGAAGCCCATATAATTCACTTGGTAGTGCTCAGTAGCGCAACCCACCGCTAAACAACGCTACCGAAAGCACTAGACGACGCTACCGAGACCAATTCGGGCATGGCAGAAAAAAATAAAACCCCTAGGGAACCTGGATGCATTTTCGAGAGGGGTCAACCCTAAACACGGAAATGAGCATTGTTTTTAGGGTTGATGCCTCCCGAGTCGCATCCCTTTCCGAGGTGGGTATTATTTTTTTGGTCAAGTGGGTTGCAATATGTTTTCCAGAGTATTTGGAGGCTTTCGGCGTTTAGGGTTGATCCTTCCCGGAAAACATATAGGTTCGCTACGGGCATTATATTTATTTATTGCAAGTGCTTGACTTCCTTTTTGAGTGACTGTATAAAAACATGAGCCAGAATAGCTTTCCACTATATCGAGAAACTGTGTTTCTGTTGGTGATTACACCTGAGAACGCGCTCAGGCAAAATCTGAGTATCGGAGATAATGGCCGGACTTGGTTGGGCTGGTAGAAGCGAGGCGGGCTTTGTGCTGGTACAGTACACTACGAAATTCGGCCAGTGAGGCGACGCGAATTTCTACACGTGCAATTACAGCCACCAAAGGTGCCTGCCAGAACTGACAACCTATGGCTATGTGGGCAGAATTGTCGGTGTCAGATGAAACGAAACTCGCTATCTGAAATTTCGGACGAAGTATAACGCCTGCTCTGATAATTCATACGAACTAAAATCCTTTCTCTTATGGATCAGACGAAATAAAAAGCACTGTCTTATGGTTCAGATGAAAGGAAAAATGACGGTCTGAAAATCAGACCATCAGACCAAATTGGTCTGATAACGAGAGCCCTGCATCAGACGGGTCATTTTACCAAAGTTAGCCCTGATTGTGGCCGATTTTTTTGTGTTCCCGATTTTACACGACCTCAGTATGGTGCTTTTCGTTCCAGAGCGGTTTGATTCTAATCGAGAGCGGTGTTGCGCAACAAAACATAGACAACTCGGTGAGGTTGTGTTTAGGTCTCAGAGCATGGTGAAATACCACACTCTAGCCTGGATATTGGTATCCTTCAGGTGTTAAACCAGCAATTAGTAGTTTAAACATGCAAAAATTATACATTGGCTTAGGAGAAAACATGCACTTCCACCTCCCTATTAAACCTAACTCGACGGTCCAACGACCGAGTGCGAGTGATTACACCTTCATCATCCTTCAGCGCAAGTATCGACTTGGGAACGCCACACGCAACTGCTGCTGCCGCGGATTCCGTAGCCCAGCCGGCCCCGTTCGGCAGTATACTGTTGTCCGATCTAGTTGATACGAGGTTTCGGTTCATCACACGCTGGAGGTCTGGAGAGCATATGGGAGAACACTCTAAAGGGGACAGGAACATCCGTTTCCCCTTGGGGAATTTCCTTTGTAATGATGCTGCTGAAACAGCTTCCCCTGCTGAAACTGCTGCTGCAGCTGCCGCTGCCGCTCCTGACATTGGAGCTGATACGGACCTGAAATCATTTACACCCATTTGCAAAAACTGTTGAATCATCCGCTGCTGCTGCTGCTGGTGTTGCATCATGTGCCGATCCGAACCTACAGAGGCTGCGGCAAAGGAAGATCCAGCCGAGTGATGTTCTTTCAGTGAACTCAGGCCCGAGGCAGTATGCAAAGGGGAAGGGCGCGGGGCTACCACACGGGGGGAGAGGGGGGACGGGCGGCGTGGGGACAGGGGGGAGAATCCTCTTGGGGAAAGAGGGGAGGGGCCTCTAGGGGAGAGTGGGGAAGGGCGACGAGGGGAGAGGGGGGAAGCGCGCGGGGAGAGAGGGGAAGGGCCCCAGGGGGAGACTGGCGGGGGCATGCAGGGGGAGAGGGGGGAAGGATGGCGGTTGAACAAGGGGGAGGGACCACAGGGGGAAGACACGCGCGGGGATAAGGGGGAAGGGCCTCTGGGGACAAGCGGCGAGAGGCGGAACGTGGGAGAGGAAGGAGAGGTATAGGAGTTCTGATCGGTTGGAATAGCAATGACAGGGAATGGTTTGGAGATGTTGCGACCCCTTCCACTGCCCACCATTCCCGCGCCCGCCATTCCCGCACCCGCCATTCCCAAGCCCCCACGCGATTGGGCAGCTGCTTCCTCGACGTTGTTTTCGGAACACTCATTATTATCACATTTCGCCGTGTCGATACTGCCAGAGGGGCTAGAGTCCCGGCTGCTGCTGTTGCTGCCGCTCCCATCCCATCCCTGCCCGAGCCTCGACTTCCTCCCGACCCTCGCAGCCCCGCGACTCTCCACCACTGCCGAACCCGGCGGGCAGGCTTGGTGCAGGCTCGGCAAATCGGCGCTGCCGCGATCCGGCTCCGAAGGTTCAGACACATTGTTTGTCTCAGCTCTTGCGACTATCGGGAAAGCGGGCTTTGCTCTGCTGCTGCCACGTGGCACGGCTTGCCCGTCTGACATGGACCGGGGGAACCTCATCGCTGCGCTTCCGCGTGGGTTAGCATGCGGGGGGCTTTTGCGCAGCGCAAACTGCGCGCCCGTACCGGAAAATGCGGAGGGGGGTGACACAGAAAGCGAAGAATCGGCGCCGTTGATTTGGCTGATTGAGGGGAAACAGAACGGTGCCCCACTCTGCGGCGGCAAGCGCGCCGTAGGCGCAATCATCGCGGGCGGCGCGGTCGTCGTTCGCGGCGCAGATCCCGGCTGCAGCGCCACCCCCACAGTCGCCGCTGGGGAGGTCGATATCGTTCGAGCCGCGGCGCCCGAGCCGCGACCGTCGCCGCCGACTTTAGACCTGCCGGCCTGAAGAGCCATTAGGTCGGCGATCCCAAGTGCCGTCCGCCGACTCGGTGAGGGTCGTGGCCGGCAGACGCCGCCTGCGTGAGAAACGGCGCCAGGAGCGGAGTTGTCGGTGCTTTTCGCGCTTCTCTGCCGCGGCATCGCCGGCGTGACGGCGCTTGTCGCCACGACGGCCCGCTGCGGCATTGTCGGCGCTTCTCGCGCTGGGGATAATGCGCGAGTCGCTGCCTTCTGCGGCGAGTCGGGGCGAATCGGGAATGCGCCGCGTGAAGATACAGCGGGAGATGCGGCGGCAGCGGGAGATGCGGCGGCAGCGGGAGATGCGGAAGCGCTTCCATTAGAGACAAGCGAAGGAGAATGGAGACACAATCGAGCGGCGGCGATCGTATCGAACTGCTCTGAGGGCTGCTTCTGGTGGCTCACGAAAGCCACGTTGGATTTCTTCGATGCTGACGTGTGCCGCCCGCTATTACTAGTAGTAGCGATAAAGTCAAAACTAGCCGCTCTGCCGTGCAACGCGCCGCCCCGGTTACTATACGCTGATGGGAGAGCGGCACGAGGGGCGTATGCTGAAGGGTACGTAGCCGACTCTGACGCCGATGCTGACGTGGTAGACTCAGTCATGGCACCAAAATTCTCGCCGGGAGCAGCGCCGCAGCTCGCGGCGGCCGTGGCGGTGCAGGAGCTGGGAGCTGATGCGGTTGGAGCCGTGGAATCCGCGTAATTGCGAACGGAGCGCGAGCCGCCGTCGAATGGATGCGGACGCGGCGCCGGCGAACGAGATGGTAAGAAATCTGGTCTTGAGTTGAACTGACTCGGCCGTAAGTCTAACTGAGGTTCTGCGGGGTCGCGCGGGAAAGGCTGTTGAGCTCTGGAATGCCGCTCAACCAGCAAGGCGACTTCAGCTGACATGACACTGTTAGTGCAAACAGATGGAGCGGAGATATAGACTGTACAGCACAGAAGCTTAGTAAAAATCTACGGACGATGATGTAATCTAACGGGATGGTAGGAATGGGATACATCAGGGAGGGTGGGGTAATTAATTAGCTGGCCTTGTGGAAGAAAGCTGAGAGTTCCCCAAGCTACTTAGCTTAGTCGGGTAAGGGTGGAGTGGAAGGTATGGAAGTGGAGAGGGTGGGTGGGTGGGGGTCTCGGAGCGGGAGGGGTGTTGGATTGGAATTCGCACGAGGCGAGGTAATACACCCTCTTCTCGATAGACTGGCATATGTTATACTGACCGAAACGCCTAGTGTAACCACAACGGACCAAAGAAGGTCCTATCACATGCGTTATAGTGACAGTTTGACCCAAGGTGGTCAGTCAGGGTTTCAAACTTTATAAAATGGTACTGTCGTTTTCAAAACGGAAAGGCTAATCAGCGTTAACGATTTTTTACTGCCCAAGGCTTGTTTCATCACCCCGCAACCGAGTTATCGCACCAGCCCGCTACGTCCAAATCTTGTAGCAAGTGGGCGCGATGGTGAGAAAGATGAGAGAGAGGGTGTACAGAGGGGATGATTTTTTTTTCGCAGTGGGGTGATTGTTGCAATGTGCAGCTGTCAACGAGACAAGTAGTTTGGGACGAGAGGGGGGAAGGAAAGGGGGTTGTGGTGGCGGAATGGGGAATTATGGGTGGCACGAAAGCGGTTCCGGGCAGGCTTGACGATGCCTTTATTACAAGGAAAAATATGTCGAGACGACCCTACATATTCAGCAACGAGGGAGGACTTACTTTGCTATTTTACCTAGACGTTACAAACCTCTATATCTGGTCATCAGTAATCTTCCTAATAATGGAACTGTTGTGACGCAGTACATCGAGAGTTTCCCAAAATTACGGGGTGGTCCTGGCATGAAACCCGAGCACTCAATCAACACACTAAAGTCTTTGTAGCTCTACACAGTGTGTGTGCAGAAGTAAACTGTAGTATCACAGTGGGGATACAGTGACAGGCGACAAGGGTTGAAAACGAGAAGCCCCGCCCACATCAGTTCCATCAGGAGCACATCGGTCAAATACAGTATGTGACAGCTGTTGGCGCGACTGGTGCTGTACAGCGCAACAAGGTGAGAGCACGGGTGAAGGAGGCCGGTGCAAGTGACAAAACAGACAAATAGTTGAATGAGGTCACGGTTCTGGGCGAAGCTTGGACACCAAGAACCAAATTTTTCCCTCAGTGACGTGTAAACACACCCAATCATTGGTCACCACACAACTTGCGAGAAGTCTTGGAGCATGACAGCCAATCAGACGTGTTCATTGATACCAAAGTGTCCACACTTCAGTTGGTGTCCAAACTTCAGAACCGTGATCTGAAATACGTTTCCAAGGTGTTTGTTTCTGACACTCCTGGTTTTGAAGGCTTGCCTGAAATGCACTGTGGTGTACTTCAAATGAAGTGTGGAGCTGCTCTAGGCTCCTATTTTCCCGTAAAACTGGAGTCGGAAGTAAGGATTGATAAGTACAGAAGAGACACCCATGTTGTACCGTTCATGCATCTAACACCCTCTTGACCCTTCAAAATCTTCCAGCCCCTCGGAGCCTGAGGTGTGGTGCCCGCTTTCCGGGTCTGTAGGGTGCCAACGCCCATGTGGCAATGTGACGGCCAGCGGCGGTTTTGCGCAAAGCGAGGACGAGTGCGCCTGCTTGCCTTGCCATCTGCTTCGTCTCGTCAGCCACAACAAGCGGTGGAGGGAAGCGTCAGGCAACGTCAGGTGTACAGTAGTTGATTCGTTCACTTTACGCGGGAGCAAGGCGAGCCATGCATTCTTCATGAACAGATACAAGACTGCACGCTGACGTAAGGTATGAAAATCTCACTGATATCCCCATTATAACTGTACAGGTAGGAATGTGGAACAAGTGTGGATCTTGGAGAAAAAAAAACCATAAACAATACATACTTCAAAACATTTGCAATAACAGGAGCAAAACAACCCAATTACACTGCACTATCACGTGTAGAAATACTAAGTGTGGAGAACACTCTCGTTCAGTCTGAAACAGAATTGTATGCAGCCTATTGTTTCCTCTATACACATGGCAATGTGCGCCTCAGTCGTTCCAGACGGAGAACCATGAGTGCTCTGCACGAAATTTTGGGTTGAAGGGGGTAAAAACGAGATCGTGAGACACGGCGAGATGGCAGGGAGTTGGTGCTAAAGAACAGACCTGAATGAAGGTAGGCAATAATCGTATGGTTTGGAGATAAAAAAATATCTCCTACACATTGACGTACCAAGAGCAGCTCGAGCTGTTAGTCGCTTCTTTGGATCCCGTGTCAACATCCTCCTTATGAGGTCCACTCCCTCCAACGATACATCACGCCACGCCTCCCCTTTGAAGCACGGCTTTGCCTCTTTAATCGCTTTCATTATCCCAGCATCAGTGCGCGCCCAAAAAGGGGGAACACCTGAGATCAACACATAGAGTACGACCCCGGCTGACCACACATCTGCCGGAATCCCATAGCTCCCTTCTATCACCTCCGGCGCGACGTAAAACGGCGATCCGACAAAGTCACATAGAGGCTTTGCACCCGGCTTGACCACAGTAGCCACGCCAAAGTCGATGAGCTTGCATTCCGTTATCGAGTCGGGGCTTGTAAGGAGGACGTTTTCGGGCTTGATGTCGCGATGCACGATGCCGCGCATGTGGCAGAATGCGAGCACGTCGAGGATGGTTCGCATGACTGGAACGGCTTCTCTCTCCTCGTATCGCTTCTTCTCCTTGATTTTGTCAAAGAGCTCTCCTCCAACACATAGCTCCATCACCAAGTGAACACCCTGGAAGAGGGGGAGGGGGACACATGAGGAACATAGGATGAAGGTTGATTTGGACACCCTCTTTTGTCGGAAGAGCTCCCTTCCAGCACACAGCCCCATCACCATGTGAACGCCATGGAAGGGGGGATAGGAAGATAAGGTGAAGGGTGAGTGAATGAGGAAGTGAGTGGTTGGCATGAGAAGGTACCGTTATGATGCATTGTGCAAGTGCATGCACATGTGATTCTGCATGTGTACGTGGAAGTGCACGTGCAAGTTCATATCAATGTGTGCATGCATGTGAACGTGGATATGCATGTGCATGCACTTGTATGCGCATGTGCATGTGCATGTACATCCTCGTGCTCACACCCTCTCATCGTCAAATTCTTACTGAAGCCAGGCAATTTCAGGATCAGGTCATACAACAGAAGTGAGGTGCCTCACAATGTGCATGTGTATGTCAATGTGCATCATATCATTCTCTTTCCTCACCTCCTCATCTTCAAACACTTCTTCTAGCCGCGCAATGTTAGGGTTGGGCCTTAAGGTCTCGAGCATCGAAACCTCTCTTCTGATATCTTCCAAGTCTGATTTGCTCTGCCGAATGGGGTCAGGATGGGGGAAGAGTGGGGAAGGGAGTGAGTGAGAGAAGGGAGTGATTCAGAGAAGTGATTGAGTGAGGGGAGTGAGTGAGCGAGGGAAGGGAGTGAGGGAAGAGAGTGACTGAGGGATTGGAGCGAGTTAGAGAAGGGAGTGGGTGAGGGAAGTGAATGCAAGGAGTGAGGGGAGTGAGCTAGAGAAGCAGATGAGAGTGAGGGAAAGGAGGGGGGAGGGTTGACACTCAAATCACTATCTTCTAGCAATGAAACTTACCTTGAGATTTGCCTTGCAGATTGACTTGCACGCAAACTGCTTCCCCGTTTGTCTGCACTTGGCCATCCGCGTCACGCCAAACTGGCCCGCCCCAAGTTCCTGATCCATCATGACGAAGTATTTCTTCTCAATCGCGGAAAACTCCCTTCCAAGAACGTTTTCCGTCAAGCCGCCCCCTCCTCCCAACATCCCCGACAGTTGCGACAGTCCGCGCATCGCAAGCCCTAAAATCCCCTTTCCGCCACCCTTGGCTTTGTAAAACGCGGATCGGATCTCCTCCACACTGCAGACTTCGTCGTCTAGCGCGGCAGTCGCGGCGGCCGCGGCGGCGATGGAACCAATCCCGCTATTTCCGCCAGAAGCAGCGGACGAAGCGGCGAGCTCGCCGGAGAGGGAGGAGAGGGAGCGAGCGACCCGTGCCACGGGCGGAGAGGCTTTTCCGCCGAAAGACGCGGCGCCAGTTGCGGAGAAGGACTTGGGGACCTTCCCTCCCACCGGAGGCCCTCCCGCCGCTCCCCCCGCTCCGGCCGCCGTCGCCGCCGCTGTTCCCGCTGCTGCTGCCCCTACTGCTGCGGCGGCTTGTGCGGCCACGCCTGCCATATCGACCGACGCGGCGCGGGATTTAAGTACCATCTTCCCCAAATGCGCACCGCTCGAGCAATCCAACGACTGTGTGCGCGCCACCGTGCCCTTTCCGCCCCGCGCAGCTGGCGGCGCCTGTTGCCCCGCCGCCAATCGCGGGCCGGCAAGGGCGCCGGCCGGCGCGGAGGACGAGAAATCCGGCCCTGCCACTCCGCCTCCTCCGCCGGCCGCGGGGTTCTTCCGCAAGTTCTGGAGCGACTTGCGCGCGGCTGCGGCGCTTAGCGCGACGGGCTGCGGAGCGCCGGAAACCCGCGCGACTCCCGCCGGGGCGCCAGCCCCAGCGCCAACGGCGGCGGCGGCTGCGGAGGCGGCGGAGCCTGAGACGAGGCTGCCTTGCCGGCTCGGGCCGAGCCTGGACCTTCCTCGAGCAGCAGCAGCGGCTGCTCCATCCCCGTTTGTAGCCTCCCCGGTAGTACCGAAGGGGCCGTCGTTAGTAGCGTCGACGCTGTTACAGCGGCTGACACTTGGAGAACTACTATTGGAGTTGCAGAGGCTCCTGCAATTCCGCGAGTCGGCCTGGAGGTCTTCTAAGGACGCCCTTAATAATTGGTCCACGTTAGAGCCGCTCCGACGGGGCCGCTGGGGGGGAAGGCGCGGGGACGGGCATTGCGGGGACGGGCATTGCGGGGATGGGGATTGCGGGGGAAAGGATGCGCTTGCGGAAGAAATTCCGTCGTTGGGGGAAGCGGAAATGGGGGACGTGGTCGCTTGCGGAGACCTGAGAGCGCCTGACAGCGCCGCTCCGCGAACGTTCCGCTCATCTTCCACGCTCCGCTCACACCACGCCTCCCCCTGTTCCCTTTCTGCCGACTCTGTTCCGCCGTACATATCCTCGTCTTCTGCGTATCCCACCGCAGACGGGTTTGGGCCCCCCTGTTCGCTATAATCACAACCCGCGCCGAAGCGATCGTCATCAATCGAACCACGTGGAGGAATTTCTGGCCGTAGTTGCCCTTCTCGGATGGACCTGCCCCCCGAAACTCGCGGGCTACTATCACCACTGACCTCCTTACATTCAAGCATCCTCGTTAGTGACCTGTTGCTGCTTAACGAACGCGTTTCCGACCCCGTTCCGCTCATCCCACCTCCTCCGACTCCCCCGCCTCCGCCCGTCCCTCCTCCTCCGGACCCCGCAAATTCACCCCGAGAGGATGTGGGCGACCTCATTCCCGCCCCCACGGGGCTCTTCAGCGGGGGCGGGGCCGCATTTCGCGGCGACGCCTGCGGCGGTCCGTGCGGCGACAATTGCGGCGGCAGCTGCCCTAGCGAGCCATACCCTACATCAGCTTCCCCTGAAAATCCGGCCGGAAGACTCACCCGCCGCCCCAAATTTCCAGGTCCGGGCGCTTGCCCCGAAGGGGCTCCGAACCTACCTTGCTGGTTCGGACTCACCGTACCAGCGGCGGTGCTTCGGTTCGGCTGACCGGAAGCTCCCAGAGGAGCCGCGTTTCTCCGCCCAACCGGCAGCGACGTGTTTTTGTTAAGTTGCGGGGAAGCTTCCGGTCCGTGTTGCCCCGACGGCCTGTTTTGCTGCTGAAACTGCGCCGCGTGTTGCGGCGGCTGGCTCGCCCCGTTCTGTTGACACGTCATCCCGGAAGACTGCCTCTGAATCTTCTGTGACAAAGCCGGAGCGCCTTTCATCTTAGAGAGATTAGGGTTCACCAGCTGCTGCATATCGTAATTCGATAGCCGCGGCCTCTCCTTCTTCTCTTTCTTGTCGTTTTCCGGGGGAGGCTGCTTCGCGTGCAGATCCGGCCGGTTCAGTTTCCGCATAAGCTCCTGCGCCTTTGCCATTTGAAGCTCCGCTTTCGTCGGCGCCGGTTGCTGCGCGCCTTGCGGCGCGAGCTGCGGTCTCACGTTCATCGTCACACTCGCCGCCCCCGGCGCGGCGCCATAGTGGCTGGGCGGCTGGTAAGAACCAAGCGCGCCACCAGCGGCGGGAGCTAATCGTCGCTGGGAGCGCTGCTGCACGAGAGCCATCTGCGGTTGATTCGTTGAAACAACTCGTTTGTGCGCGACTCGTTGCTCTGAAACACCAGATCGACGATTTATGGAGCGAGTCGCTAATAATACTGTCCTAATTTCAATGCGAGGGGGAATGGTTCAGGACGGTCGTCGCGCCACTACTAGAAGCGGAATTCCAGTTCGGAACATCTTATTGATGCAGCTCATTGAGCATTTGACGGGAGAAAATTCGACGGAATGAAGAGCTCAACTTTTCACCTGAACCACGATAGAAAGCTCAACTTGAAAAGCTCAACTTTCACCTGGAAATTCGACGAAATGGAAAGCTCGAACCCACGTTGTCGAAGCTTGAATGGCGGGAACAGAAGACCCAGTGGCTCCAGAGTTGCATGTTCTGGCTCTTGTGGTTGGAAGCTACTTACGCAATTCCCCATCGATACCGCGCGGAACCGAGGTTTCTGAAGGTGAAGATTCGGATGCGACGCGTGCACGCGACGCGGTTCAGGTTGGGCTTTGATTTTGTGGGGGAGGTTTGGCGGGTGGGTTTCAGGACGACGGATGTTGCCAGTTGTGCAGCTTGGATGGTTTGGATGCATCCGCGCCGATTTGGATGAAACGAAATGATAGGGCCTTGCGGATACGTCACGGCACAACGACACGGTGGATCTTGTACCCTAAGGAGGTGACACGTTCTCTTTGCAGATGAATCATGAGAGTGTTGCCAGTCACAGACATCCATGTTTCCGTATCAAATCAGTTTGTGTCGGCGTGCGGGAAACGATTCACGTCATGTAGCAGTGAGCAACTGTGCAAGCAGCAGCAGCCGTTCACTGAGGGTCCGTCATGCGTTTCATTTTCCAGACGGGCGTGGTGCATAAACGTTGTAGTCTGGTTAATACAAAATTATTTACGGTTCAGACTGGTGGGCTCCATGCTACAGTCAAGCAACAGCTTGCTCCGTTTCATCTCCTCTGGCAAAAGGACACCAGACGTGGCACTGGCAAAGCCTGACGCGGTCACCAAGAACTGCATCCAGTGTAACAGTGCTACTCATCAATGCGGCAGCAGGGGCAGGTGGAAGCGTGAGGTGGCGACAGGTGGTACCACGCAGGCCAGGGTGGTCGGTCCTCTTTATAAAAGGACCAGGTAAAATGCGAGCCCGGCATCAGCTCAAGTGAAGGCACAGCTGTTGTACTATGAAGGTACATGTCTTTTCCAGTGTTATTTAGAGAAAGCATGAATGTAGAATAGCATTTCCTTACCAACAGTACAACATTCAAAATGGCTTTATGGATCACTAAGGCGCTTTCAAGTGCAAAAAACAAAAAAAGGAGAAGGGTGAGTTGAAGTTACATGGGAAATGGTGTGAAACGAGAGAATCTAAGGGTGTGAAACATTATACATCTAATGAAAAACTGTGGCTTATACTTATCCACAGAAAATAGTTTTGTTGGGACAGACCAGACAGTGTCAGAAAGGGAGCATCGCATACATATCAGCAAGTTGCAGACGATGCAGCAGCGGATTGGATGGTGCAGATGAGACGACAGATCAGATGGTATGTCAAGCTGGACCCAGCTTCTTGTGCTGGTACCATTGCTTCTGATTGTGCTGGCACTCTTGCTGCTGATACTCCCACCGATGCCACACCCAACTTTTGAGTCGACTCAAAAGCCATCTGTTGTGGTGATGCTACTGCCACCGATGCCACTCGCGCTTCAGAAAACCCAACCAAGGTGCTTGGGTAGCAGTAGCAGTGAACCGGCCACTACTTCAAATTTCTCACTTCCTCTTCTCCTTCCTCCCTTCCTCCTCTCCTTCCTCCCAACCATCCCTCCTGCTCTCGCTCCTCCTCTCCCACACTACCACACCCTCCTTTTCCGATTTGCACCACACACATTACCACATTTGATGAAAGCACAGTTGAAGGTGTATGTACGTGGTTGAATGCTCTTATCCATCTACTGACTTGATTGAGAGGACCCTGATTACTGTCTTCTTCATTCACGTGTTTTGAAACAACGTGGCTCCCTGTTTGTCACATTCCCAATACAGACTCCCATTAAGTTAACGCTTTAATCCATGGGTGTTCTGTTGGGAACAGAAGAGGGAATGAGAGAGGGAATGGGAGAGGGAATGAAGAGGGAATGAAGAGGGAATGAAGAGGGAATGACAGAGAAAATGAGAGAGGAAACGAAGAGGGAGAATGAGAGAGATCCTGAGGGAGGCAATTAGAGAGGGAGGCAATGAGAGTGGTAGGGGTGGAACAGGAGAGAGTCGAAGCCACGCAAAGGTCGAAGCTGCTTTTCCCGGGGCATCGACAGGCGCTCCTTTTCCCAAATTCCCCCCACAGAAACATCTAGTCCACCCGCTCATGACCCCACCCCCAACACCAACTCACTGAGAATCTCAGCGACAGTTCGCTCATACTTCCGGCACAGCATCCGTCTGACCAAGTCCTTGCCAGCGGTGCTAACCACGGGCCAGGGCTGGGTGTCAAAGTCGAGCTCCTGCCACAGGATGGTCTCTCACCTGCCCCTCCTCCTCTGTGGTTCTGTGCGGTTCGGTTCGGTGCTCACAACGGACCAGGGCTGGGTGTCAAAGTCGAGCTCCTGCCACAATATGCTCTTGAACCCGCCCCTCCTCTGTGGCTCAGTGCGATTCGGTTCGGTGCTCACAACGGGCCAGGGCTGGGTGTCGAAGTCGAGCTCCTGCCACAGGATGCTCTTGAACCCGCCCCTCCTCCTCTGTGGTTCAGTGCGGTTCGGTTCGGTGCTAACCACCGGCCATGGCTCGGCGTCAAAGTCGAGCTCCTGCCACAGGATGCTCTCTCACCCGCCCCTCCTCCTCTGTGGTTCAGTGCGATTCAGTTCGGTGCTCACAACGGGCCAGGGCTGGGTGTCAAGAGCCAGCTCCTGCCACAGGATGCTCTTGAACACGTCCTCTGTGGTGTCTCTCACCCCCCCACCCTCCTGGGTTCCCCAGGCCGATTCCACCCCAGATTTTCCCTTCAGAAGCATAGAGCCCACCCACCTAACCCAAACACCGACTTACTCAGAATCTCAGGCCACTGTAATCCTCCGCTCGTACTTCCGGCACAGCATCCGTCTGACCAAGTCCTTGGCAGCAGTGCTCACAACCAGCCAAGGCTCCGTCTCGAAATCCAGCCCCTGCCACAGGATGCTCTTCAACACGTCCTCTGTGGTGTCCCCTCAGAAGGGTTGTTTAGTTCGGTTGGGTAAGGTTAGGTTCCCCAGCCCGATTCAGCCCCAGATTTCTCCCGGACTTACTCAGAATCTCGGCGACAGTAATCCGCCGCTCATACTTGCGGCACAGCATGCGGCGAACGAGGTCCTTGGCAGCGGTGCTGACCACGGGCCATGGCTCTGTCTCGAAGTCGAGCTCCTGCCACAGGATGCTCTTGAACACGTCCTCTGTGGTGTCCCCCCAGAAGGGCGGCAGCCCGCACAGCAGCACATACAGGATCACCCCCGCACTCCACACGTCCGCCTCTGCTCCGTAGTTCTTCGCTATCACTTCTGGAGCAATGTAGTTGGGCGTTCCTGCCCTCAGCTTGCAGCGCTCGCCTAGGAAGGGAGTGAGGGAGTGAGGGAGGGAGGGAGGGAGGGATGGCTCTAGGTTAATATACACTGCACCTATGCTTATAATCGGGAAAAAAAAACCTCAAAAAGTACCCTTGATAATCAAGGGCGAAACGGACCGTACCCGATTTCAAGATGCACGCCATGCCGAAGTCAATCACTTTAACCCTTGTATCACTCCTCTTCGACACGAGCAGAATGTTCTCGGGCTTTAAGTCCCGGTGCACGATCCCTCGTGCTTGGCAGTAGGCCAGAACCTCCACAACGGAGCGAATGACCCGCGCGGCCTGCCTCTCCCCGTAGTACTTGCGGTCGAGAATGCGATCGAAGAGCTCTCCTCCCGCACACAGCTCCATCACTATGTGCACCTCCTGGTGAAGTGGAGAGGGGGAAAATGGGGGGAACAGGGGGAAACGGGGGAGAAGCGAGGAGGTGAGGAAAGGATTGGAGGGTGCGTGGGAGAGAGCGTGAGTCTCGGCTCACAAACAATTCCCCCCTGACAGGCTTGGCAGTAAGCAAGAACCTCCACCACGGAGCGAATGACCCACGCGGCCTGCCTCTCCCCGTAGTACTTGCGGTCGAGAATGCGATCGAAGAGCTCTCCTCCCGCACACAGCTCCATCACTATGTGCACCTCCTGGTGGGTGTGGGGGAGGGAGGGGGAAAAATGGTTGGGTAGGTGAAATAAACCACGTGATAAAAGTAGAGTTTTGAAACGTCTCAAAACTGTTGGGTGTGGGGGAGGGAGGGGGGAACATGGGCGGGTGGGTGAAATCAACCACGTGATAAAAGTAGACTTTTGAGACGTCTCAAAACTGTTGGGTGTGGGGGAGGGTGGGGGGAAAATGTGTGGGTGGGTGAAATCAACGATGCCACCTGCCTTTGGGATCAAAAAGCTCTCCGCCTCCACACAGCACCATCACTATGTGCACCTTCTGGTGGGGGGGAGAAGGGGGGAGTGGGGAAGCATCAGTATGCGCATCTCACTAAGGGGTGGCCCCTCAGCGTGTCACATCTACTTCTTACTAAGCATCGCAAAGAAATGTGGGCTTCAAGAAAATACCCCAACAGCAACTAGTACCACTCACTCACATGTTCGTCTTTCATTGTCGCAACACTTAACACCACAAAGGGCCGGCCCCTCAGTGCCATAGAGTGTCTTTGGTTGGGTGCGTCCATTGAGATTGTTTTTGAGGCGCCTCAAAAACCAACTCAACAACACAAAGGGGTGGCCCCTCAGTGCCTTAGTTTGTCTTTGGTTGGGTGCCTCAAAAACCAACTCAACACCACAAAGGGCCGGCCCCTCAGTGCCTTAGATTGTCTTTGGTTGGGTGCCTCAAAAACCAACTCAACACCACAAAGGGCCGGCCCCTCAGTGCCATAGAGTGTCTATGGGTGCGTTTGAAGCCTCACCTGTTCATCCTCCATCGTCTCAACAATCTACACCACAAACGGATGGCCTCTCAGTCTCTCAGCGTCTCAGTGCCTCTGTGGGCGTGCTGGAAGCCTCACCTGCTCGTCTTCCATCGTCTGAGCGATCGACACCACAAAGGGATGGCCTCTGAGTGTCTCGGGGTGTCTTTGGGTGTGCTTCAAGTCTCACCTGCTCGTCTTCCATCGTCTGAGCGATCGACACCACAAAGGGATGGCCTCTGAGTGTCTCGGGGTGTCTTTGGGTGTGCTTCAAGTCTCACCTGCTCGTCTTCCATCGTCTGAGCGATCGACACCACAAAGGGATGGCCTCTGAGTGTCTCGGGGTGTCTTTGGGTGTGCTTCAAGTCTCACCTGATCGTCTTCCATCGTCTGAGCGATCGACACCACAAAGGGATGGCCTCTGAGTGTCTCAGGGTGTCTTTGGGTGTGCTTCAAGTCTCACCTGCTCGTCTTCCATCGTCTGAGCGATCGACACCACAAAGGGATGGCCTCTGAGTGTCTCGGGGTGTCTTTGAGTGTGCTTCAAGTCTCACCTGCTCGTCTTCCATCGTCTGAGCGATCGACACCACAAAGGGATGGCCTCTGAGTGTCTCGGGGTGTCTTTGGGTGTGCTTCAAGTCTCACCTGCTCGTCTTCCATCGTCTGAGCGATCGACACCACAAAGGGATGGCCTCTGAGTGTCTCGGGCTGTCTTTGGGTGTGCTTCAAGTCTCACCTGCTCGTCTTCCATCGTCTGAGCGATCGACACCACAAAGGGATGGCCTCTGAGTGTCTCGGGGTGTCTTTGGGTGTGCTTCAAGTCTCACCTGCTCGTCTTCCATCGTCTGAGCGATCGACACCACAAAGGGATGGCCTCTGAGTGTCTCGGGGTGTCTTTGGGTGTGCTTCAAGTCTCACCTGCTCGTCTTCCATCGTCTGAGCGATCGACACCACAAAGGGATGGCCTCTGAGTGTCTCGGGGTGTCTTTGGGTGTGCTTCAAGTCTCACCTGCTCGTCTTCCATCGTCTGAGCGATCGACACCACAAAGGGATGGCCTCTGAGTGTCTCACCCTGTGCATCTTCCTAACATGACTCAACAAATGGCCCCATAACTGTCACTGCCCACACTCACCTGCTCGTCTTCCATGGTCTCAACGATTGACACCACAAACGGATGGCCTCTGAGTGTCTCAGGCCGGCATATCTTCAACACGACCCAATGAATGGCCTTGCAATAAGTATTACCACTCACATCTTCATCTTCCATGGTCTCAACGATCGACACCACAAACGGATGGCCCCTTAGCGTCTCAAGCACGCTCACCTCCCTCCTCACATCCTCCACGTCGTCCCAGCACTGGGGGGAGGGGAGGGGGGACCAGGGAGCAGAAAGGGCAGGGAACCGAGGGTACACAGGGAGCAGGAGGGGAAATGAGTGAAGGGCAGTGTGAGTTTTCAAAGCGTCTCGAGCACGCTCACCTCCCTCCTCACATCCTCCACGTTGTCCCAGCACTGGGGGAACAGAGGGGCCACAGGGAGAAGTCAGAGGCAGAGGGAGTAGAGGGGGTACAGGGGCGGGGCCACAGTTGTCAAAGCGACGCCAGCACGCTCACCTGCCTCCTCACGTCCTCCACGTAGTCCCGGCACTGGGGGATAGAAGGGGATTAGCGGCAGAGGGAGCAACGGAAAAATGAGTGGGGGGAAGGAAGACTTGTCAAAGTGCCTTCAGCACGCTGACTTGCCTCCTCACATCCTCGACGTAGTCCCGGCACTGGGAGAGGGGGACGAAGGGGAAGGTTCAGCAAGTTTATAGTGGAGGAAAGTCCTGGCGTCCCTATAACAAGAGGGCAAGCAGCAACGCTCAAACTTTCCTGCCACAAGAACCCTACCAGAACTCCCCTTCCCTAGCTCCTTGTACTGTGTATAGCCGAACTATAGTGGGACAAGGAATGCTCTGTTTGAGCAAGCCTAAATGTTATAACAAGCAGAGAAAGAAAGCAAGCAGCAATGCTCACCTCGAAGGCGTTTGTGATAAACTTGCAGGCAAACAGCTTCTCAAATCTCAAAATCAAATATCTCCTCACCTCGAATTTAGCCTTGGTGATGCTCTTGCATGCAAATTGCTCCCCAGTCTGCAAATTCTCCCCCACGTGGATCACTCCAAAGTTCCCCCGCCCTAGCTCCTTCTCAGCTAGTTTGTACTTCTTCCTGATATCCGAATAAGGCTCTCCCAGCACATTCGCACGAGTCGGCCCTAGCTCCTCTGCTGCAGATTCCTCCTCGCCCATCCCCTCTCCCCCCTCCGTTTCCCCCCCGTCGATTCGGTAGTAGTCGCTAGGCTGGGGCGTCCGAAGCGGGAAGCCAGCTTCGGCCCGAGCCGAGGCTCCAGCTTTGGGGGACGGGATCGGCGTTCCGTGATTCCAATTGGCAAACATGCTCTGGATTTCGGCCAGCTTGGCTTGGTCCCGATCCTCCTGCGCAGCTAAGGTACCGGGGCTAACCACCATACTTCCCCCGCCAGGAGTCATAGCCCCGGGGGTCACAAACCCGGTTCGGGAACTCACTTGAGACAGCATGGGGGAGCCTAGTAACGGAGAGCCTACTAACGGGGAGCCTACTAGCGGGGATCCCATGCGTGGGCTGGCATAGGGGCTAGCATAGGGGCTGGCGTGGGGACTGGTAGAAGGTAGGACGATTTTGGGCTTGTGTGGGCTTTGGATTGGAATTGCTTTTGACTTTCCTACAGGGTTATCCCCAACCTCTGTTCTCCCTCCCCCCCCTGGGGTAAGCGCCTCCCTTCCTTCCTTCTCAGATCCCCCTCCTGTTCCGCCTCCCCCTCCCCCTCCTCCGCCTAGCCCTCCCCCTCCCCCTCCCCCTCCCCTCCCCCTCCCCCTCCCCCTCCCCCTCCCCCTCCCCCTCCCCCAACTCCTCTGGTTACTCCCCCGGGCCCTCCCCCCATCCGCATTCCCCCAGCGCGGGGGGGACCCGCATAGGGGCTCCCCCCGCCTGGAGGGCTTCCGCCCATGCCCCCTCCGGGGGAACCCCTCCCTGGAATATTAGAGCTGCCAGATTGCGGACTAGAGCCGCTAGCAGGGGAATTAAAGCCGCTCATATGGGGATTAAAGCCCGCCTCTGGATTGAACCAGGCTTCACAGCTAGCAGACCTCCTGTGGCCCATCTTCTTCTTGACAGGCATTCCCCCTGCCGCGCCCCCCCCTCCGCCACTTGCCCCTCCCCCTCCCCCTGCCCCTGCCCCGCCTCCCCCGACTCCGCTTGCCCCTCCCCCAGGTGCGCCCGCCAGCCACCCGGGGCTTGGGCGCACAGAGTGCCCTCCTGAAGGCGCAGCTCCCCCTCCCCCCATTCCCCCCGCATACCCCCCTGCGCCTGCTGCGGAGCCCCTCTGCGCGCCTTGGGAAGATATTTGCCCCCCTTGCCTGCTGCGCAAGGGGCTCCCATAGGCGGACACCCCCCGTCCCCCTGCTGCTCCCCCTGTCGCTCCGCCTGCTGCGCCTGCGCCGCCCAGATAGGGCAGCACAGGGCTCTTAGGGGGGGTTTTCACAGAGCGCCTGAGGTCTAACGGGCCGCCGTCATAAGAGCGTGAATTCCGCCTGACAGTGGGTATTCCCAAGGGTGGCAGCGGCTGCTGCAATGGCTGCGCGGCCTGCTGCTGCTGCTGCTGCTGGTCGTGGCGGGGAGGGGAGTGCTGCTGCTGGCCGTGGCGAGGAGGGGAGTGCTGCTGGGTTCCTTGCTGCACCTGCTGCTGCTGCTGCTGTGATTGCTGCTGCTGCTGCTGCTGCCGCTCCTTATCACTGCTGGCGCGGGCCTGTCGCCTATCCCAAATGGCCGCTCCCTCTACCACTCCCCCGCCGTATTCCCCACTTGTTCCCCCTCCTGCTCCCCCAACTGCTCCCCCTCCGCTGCTGCGCACCCGCCTCCCCTGCACATCCTCCGCCTCCCCGTCGTACTCATCGTCAGCGGGGCTTCTTACGCCACCCCGCGATATCTCCCCGTAACTCCCGCCCCTTTTCTCCCCCCCGCTCCCCTCGATATTCCCCATGGCGGAAACCTTCCGCCCCCCCCTTCCCACGCCGCTCCGCGGCCCTACTGCTCTGCCCGTTCCGCTTGCGTCCCCCCCACCCGCGCCCGCAATCGCCCCTTCGCGCCGGCCTTTCTCCTCGGGGCTGGCGTTCCGTGGTGCGCTGCCCGGCCTTCCTGACGGACCGTCAGAATAATTGCTGACGGCTGACGGTCGCGGTTGGGGACTGGCTTGCCGGCGGTTCTCTCCTGCTATGCCGCCCCCTCCCACGACGCCTCCTGGTCCGCCGCTTTGGCTCCGCCTATGCCCGTGCTTAAACGCGCCGATTATTCCAGGCCCCTCCCCCTCACGTCTCGTCTTGTTCCCCTCCGGGATCGCGTGTCTGGGAACTGGGCTCCAACCTGCCGGACCGTCAGTCTGCTCACTGCTAGCCGTCGCTGGCCGGTTGCTTCGACCGGTCGGTCCAGCTCCCGCAGCGAGCGGCCATTCTTGCGGTTTACTACGCGGGGGATGCGCTTGCGGGGGCTGCTTGCCTCTCGAGCCGCTGGCTTTAATTGCCTCTGGCGCGCCGCGATACGCGACGGCGTTCGTTACAGGGGGGCCTTGCAACTCGTCGGTCGCGTCGACAGCGGAAAACGCGGCGATGACAAACTCCTCAGAGCGGATTCGACGGTGACGAGCCGCTATGGGCTTAGGAGGCTTGCTACCCTCGACCGGGTTCTTTGATTGTGAATAAGCATACCCGCCAGCAGCGCTACTAATACCGCCGAAGCTGCTACTACCGGATAAGCCGTAGACCGCGTTGTTGTTGATGCTGTTATGCGTACTGTTAGCCGTAACATTGCCGTAACCACTATTGTAACCAGCCGAGGTGATGTCGCTGTTACCATCACTGTAGCCGGAGTTACTGTTTCCACCTCCACCCGCGCGCCTGACGCCGCTGTTTACGCTCCTGCTAGGACTGCCGCTGCTGTGGTTGTTGTAACCGTCGATGCTGCTGATGCGGTTGTTGTAGCCGTCGATGCTGCTGGTTTTACTGGTAGAGGTTTCGCCGCTTAATTTAGGGGATCCAGGATAAGACGTTTTTAGCGGCCGATGCTGATTGGTTGATTGAGAACGTCTAACCTCCTTTCCAGCACTATGATTAAGCTCCGCATATGGCGGCGATTTCTGCGGTGAATATTGTCGTCCCGAACGAGGCTGCGTACTGTACGCGTTATGGGTGTATCCGTCAGAAGGCTGTTGTCGAGCGTGTTTCATTTCGTCCGGAGAATGCTGCGGGTCTGGCGAATAATCAGGAGACGGAATGACTCCCGAATGCCGACGGCGATGACGGATAGGAGCCTCCGCAACTTCATTTTCTATAATAGCATCTTCGCTTTCACCTCCGACACGAGAACTCGCGCCAGACTGATGGCTGTAAGTTACGGCCTGAAGCCGAGTCCCAGATGCTTGAGTCAGATTCGTCGGGTCGAACTGGAAACTGTCGGACTGGCTTCGTCGATGACGTGGCTTGACAGGCCGAGGAGGAACAGGCGACACCGCACGAGACACGCGCTCCTGTTGTTCCGAGACATCAGGACTGTTCATTTGCGCGACGCGATGTCCCGGCTCCCGAGAATGGTGCGAGCGGGGTCGAGATTCAACAAGGGTGACGTCCATTGTCAGTTGCAAAATATGGAAATGGTTTTGAAATCGGGAGTAATAAGCAGGTGCGATTACCTGCTACTAAGAAACTACCGTAAAACAAGTCGAGCAGATGGTAGTTTCCAAGTCTACTCGACCTGCAGGAATAGTCCGAGAGATCATATGGAAGGAGAGTAGTTGTGAGTGTGTGTCAGAGGTGGAACTAAGAGAGTAGGCTCCTCCTACATAGAAAAGGCAGAAATCGAGGTTCTGTGACAGAAAGACAATGTTTTCTGGGCTGTGCTGGTTCAGCGCAAAATCGAGGTCGCACTGACCGTGCAGATCGAGATACTGGACGGCGAGGATCACTCCGTGCGTCTAAAAGGGTGCACGAGTTGCGGGTTGAGCCAGATTTGGAGCCGGTAACCACGGTCGTCGAAACCGATATCCCCTTGACGACGTTCGCCGATGCAGCAGAAGTTGCGCTTTTGGCGAAAGGCAACTTGTGTTCCACGACGAGCTGAGTTGGCTTCACTCGGGGCTCACAGCACCGTACGAGACCCTCACACAACTCACTAAAACCATCTGTTTTTGTGCAATCGACTCGCCCAATTGGAGAGGAGCATACAGTTTCATAGCACGAGGTCAATTTATTAGAGAAGTAGGGCCGCCACTTGCTTGCGGTGGATTTCGCCAACCCAAAACGATCACTCAATCGAAGCGCTTGTTCCTCTTCAACAGTCTGCCACAACTTGGAGTGAGGTTGGAAGAGTGAACAGAATAAAATTTTGCACGGGCAAGATCAGAAACGTGTTGGCAACCAGCCTTGTGTTGCATAAGTGGCCTGGTTGTACAGAACTTTCAACACAATAAGGGCGTGTCCAGTGCGTACGTTTACAGGTACTATACAGTCCATTCGTCGAGGTGAGAAAAGATATCAGGCGGTGCACAGCGGTTTTAAAATTGCACCGTTTTGAACCTCGACGCACTACAGATTACTGCACTGGATGAACTGTAATGTACGGATAGTGTACGCGCTGGACCCGTCCTAACGACTTGTTTTTTTATTTATATGCAGTTATACACTACATAAATGTACAAAGCATTGATAGTCGTAACTGTATTTACAGAGTTCGTAATTGTATTTACAGATAAGTGCCACGATACCAGGTGTTGAAACAACCGAAAGGTTATATAAAGCATTCCCGAAGCTGCTCCACTGTACCAATACCGCAATAGCTCATATAGAGCATGCGGAATGTCGAGGGTCACCCGAAGGTCAACCGTCTGAGGAAGTCAACGGTCGTGACCTTTGACGATCCAGTAACCGCGCGACAGTTAACTCACTGCAACATGGTAACTGTCGAGGATAGCAATAGTCGCGGTTACTGTAGCTATGCAATACAGTTAACAAGGGAATGTACCCCTCATAGTACATGGCTAGCTAGATTTCTATTTAATCCCTTGTACTCCTATCTTTCAAATCATCTTGTTCTCTTTCAATTATTATTCAACAAGGTCACTACAAAGACTTCTTTGTCTCCTCTCAGACTTAACAGATCCTATCCTATCTACTGGATCCTTTAGTTATATCAGCATGGTATAAGAGCAAGAGTAGATTATAAGATCTGCCAAGTCCTAGTTCTTCCTAGAACAATCTCATTACAAACTTACTCAATACATTTCTAAGTCTGCAATCTATGGCTCCTGAAGGAAAAGCCACTGCAGACTCACCGGGCCCACCACCAGCAACGACTAACGCGCCCTCAGCGATGACCTCCGTCAGCGCCGCCGTCGTTGAGGAGCTAGTCGCACGCATCAACGCCCTTGAAAGCCATCAAGCAATGAGCATTGACGGCTCAAGCTATGCACGTGGCGTTGCTGGACTCCCTCTTCCCGGAGAAGACCGCCGCGTCAACTCCGAGAGATCATTCACCTTTGACAATCGTCAAGGGTCAGCTCCTGCACAAGACAACCCACAACGCTCACAGTCGGACATCGCTTCAGTGCAAACCAAATTTGTATTGACTTCAAAATTGAAGACCTCAATCCCTTTCGACGGAAAGGATTTCTACACGTGGAGTTTTGAATTCGAGCTTCTCGCGACAACCGCTCAGATCTGAATGTACTACGACGAATCACTCCTCGCGTACACGGCTCTCTTTCGCAACCTCTCACCTGAAGAACAGCTTGGCATTCGTCCTTACAAGACGGAGTGGGCTCCCGCGCAACTCATACATGGCAACAGATCCAGTTACGATGACTCGTCTGCTCAGCCAGCTAACATCGGTTAAAATGAAGCAAGGGGAGAAAGCGGGACCGTATGTCAACCGGTGCCGCAATCTGCGCGACAAAGTCAAGAAATGCGGTGGGACTGTCCCCGACGACATGTTCATCTCGATGGTCATCTCTGGCCTCGGCCCCGACTGGCGACAGTGCCAGTCACTCCTTCGCGCCTGAGCAACCATATCGGAGTCGGCTCTATGCGCCACGCTTCTTTCGGAGCAGAAGGAGATCGACATGTACAACGAGAAGAATGTCAAACGAGAAAAATTAGTCTTCTACACAGGAGCATCACAAGGGGAGCAACGCGGAAAGAAGGGAGCCTTCTGCAAATACTGCAAGAAGTCTGGCCACACTATCGACCAGTGCTACAAGCGTCAGGCCGCTGATGAGCGACACAACGCCTCCAACCAACAACCATCGACACAAACAAAGCGCCCGCCACTGTGTCGCCTCCTTCCGTCGCCAGCACTTCTCAATCTCCTGCACTCATCACGGCGAAGGACAAAGGAAAAGGGACAATCATAAGCTGCATGGCTCGCCGCAACAGAGGGTTCCGTTACTGGGATCGAGTAACATTCGCTCGCGACGATCCCATCAACCCCGTTGCGCCCAGCACAGACAATGATCCAACAGTCTTTACCTAGTCCTCTCACCCCTCAGACATTCCTCCTGACTTCGAGCTCCCCCCTCCTACTCCGGAATCGCCGCCGAGCATTTCCGCAAACAGATATTTCGCCCTCTCACCGTACGCCGGCGACCTTGATCGCATCGTCACGCCCAAGATCGCCAACCTCGCCCGTCAGCGCTACGAGGATTTGGACACGTGGTACCTCGACAGTTGCTGCGGGCAACACATGGTGGGATCGCCAAAGTTTATCAGCAACTCACGGCGTATGCGACGGCCCTGCGAAATCACCGCCGCCAACAACGGAAAAATGAAGGCATATGAGATTGGCGAAATCTACCTCGAGGCCAATGACACGAAGTTCACCATTCACATCGGAGACGTCCTCGTCGCACCTGACCTACAATACAATTTGCTCTCGTCAGCGCAACTCATGCGGTGCGGAATCGACATTCGCAGCAATCGAAAGGAGAAGACCTTCGAGCTCTTCCACAAAGAAACTTACATCGGAAAGGCGATCGATAACGATGGAGTCTTCGTGCTGCAATTTTCAGCTCAGGGCACCACCGGCGATTCCCACCGCACACTGCTACTGAAAACAACTCCCATAGAGCCACCAACATGATCACATCCCGACGAGATGGATCTCGAGCAACCTGCCTCCGACGGCCTCCTGCGCTTGTGCACAGTCCCGACTGCCTCGACCTCCATGTCAGAGGTCCACTGGTGATCCCCAATTGATCCTAGGGAAGGATTACAGGCACGGTTGCCTGGGGGGTTATGGGCGTACTGACCCGCTACTTAAACAAGCCTTTTTATCCCAATGGTCTAGTGGTTGGGATTTGACATGGTATCAGAGCGAAGGTCTCGGGTTCGAATCCCGGTGTATGCACTTCGGGCATCCCAGTGCGGGGGGGTGTCAGAGGTCCACTGGTGATCCCCGATTGATCCTAGGGAAGGGTTACAGGCACGGTTGCCTGGGGGGTTATGGGCGCACTGACCCGCTACTTAAACAAGCCCTTTTATCCCAATGGTCTAGTGGTTGGGATTCTGACACTCCAACCCTGCAGGAACCAGACCAGCCACAATGGAAGAAGACAGCGGCACGTCAGAACCTGCAACCGAAGAAAACAAGACGACGGAGACACGCTGCATGGGCTGGAACACTTCCGAGCCCGCGCTCGGATCCTGGGGAGAAGTTTTGACTCCAGAAGAAGCAGCCGCGAGCGGGTGGGACGCCGTTTCAACAGAAGAAGAAGTTGGCGCGACCGGCCGGGGGACTTCCCCTGCCCCAGCAGAGGAAGCTGGTACAACAGCAGGAGAAGCAGTCGGAGAAGCAGAGATAGCTGAAGTCACACCGGGCGCCGAAGGAGGATGGGGCACCTCGACCGAAGCAGAACAAGGGCACACCGAAGCAGCTGGTTTTCCTCCTGCGGAAGTCGCCGTCGTCGACCCATACTGGGCAACTCGCGGCACTTGCTGGGGAGGTCCACCTCTCCTAGATCAATACGCCCCTGACACACCTGAGCCAATGCCAGAAGAGTCGGACGAAGAAGAGACCTACAAATGAATGGGAGAACCAACAGAGTTACCTGAACCCACCGAAGAGCCGGAGCCGCCAGTACAAGGACCACAAGAAATTGAGGTCATCGGCGCTGAATACAGTTACTTCAGAATCCCCATGACGGGACTCCCAGTTCGGGAGTGGCCCAACCAGTGCCTGCTCGTCACCGGAGACCAAATCGAAGCTGGCGACACCGACGACGTCATCGGTATTCCCCGCGCGCTTCTGGAGCGAAAGGCAATTCGTGCGCTCGCCGCCGATACCGACAACGCCGCCGACGCAGGCCCTGAAGGGGAGGCAAACGACGAAGCAGCACGACAAAAATATTATCAGAAGACGATCGGATATCGTGCGGACCCAGAAACATGGCACCAACGGCTCGGCCATCCCTCCCACGCCACGCTCAAAAACTCGCTCAAGGCCGGAGTCTTCGACAACGACGCGCTCCTCCTTCTTCGAAACGGCTCTCTCACCGCGGACTCACCTAACCCACCATGCATCGTCTGCCCAACCGCGTCGCTCAATCACCAGCCGTTTCCCGACTTGCCCCCAGGGTATGAACGCTACAAGCCGTTGGACAAGGTTTACAACGATTTTATGGTGCTCAGCCAGGAGGGGCTCAACGGGGAGCAGTACACACTTACTTTCATCGACGCATCTACGCGCTACGTCTCGGCCGTCAACACGCGCGCCTTGACCAACGCGCGCCCCGGGACCAACGCGCGCGCCTTGACCAACGCGCGCGCGCCTGGACCGACGCGCGCGCCTGGACCAACGCGCGCGCGCCTGGACCAACGCGCGCGCCTGGACCAACGCGCGCGCCTAGACCAACGCGCGCCCCTGGACCAACGCGCGCCCCTGGACCAACGCGCGCCCCTGGACCAACGCGCGCGCGCCTGGACCAACGAGCGCGCCTGGACCAACGCGCGCGCGCCTGGACCAACGCGCGCGCCTGGACCAACGCGCGCGCCTCGACCAATGCGCGCGCCTCGACCAACGCGCGCGCCTGGACCAACGCGCGCGCCTGGACCAACGCGCGCCCCTGGACCAATGCGCGCCCCTGGACCAACGCGCGCGCCTGGACCAACGCGCGCGCCTGGACCATCGCGCGCGCCTGGACCAACGCGCGCGCCTGGACCAACGCGCGCGCCTGGACCAACGCGCGCCCCTGGACCAACGCGCGCCCCTGGACCAACGCGGGCGCCTGGACCAACGCGCGCGCCTGGACCAACGCGCGCGCCTGAACCAACGCGCGCGCCAACGCGCGTGCCTTGGTCCGCGCGCGCGCCTTGTTCCGCGCGCGCGCTTTGGTGCGCGCGCGCGCCTTGGTCCGCGCGCGTGCCTTGGTCCGGGCGCGCGCGCCTTGGTCAGCGCGCACGCCTGGACGAACGCGCGCGCCTCGACCAACGCGCGCGTCTGGACCAACGCGCGCGCCTGGACCAATGCGCGCCCCTGGACCAATGCGCGCCCCTGGACCAACGCGCGCGCCTGGACCAACGCGCGCGCCTGGACCATCGCGCGCGCCTGGACCAACGCGCGCGCCTGGACCAACGCGCGCGCCTGGACCAGCGCGCGCGCCTCGACCAACGCGCGCGCCTGGACCAACGCGCGCGCCTGGACCAACGCGCGTGCCTGGACCAACGCGCGCCCCTGGACCAACGCGCGCGCCTGGACCAACGCGCGCGCCTGGACCAACGCGCGCGCCTGGACCGACGCGCGCCCCTGGACCAACAAGCGCCCCTGGACCAATGCGCGCCACTAGACCAACGCGCGCGCCTGGACCAACGCGCGCGCCTGGACCTGCGCGCGCGCCTGGACCAACACGCGCGCGCCTGGACGAACGCGCGCGCCTGGACCAACGCGCGCGCCTGGACCAACGCGAGCCCCTGGACCAACGCGCGCCCTTGGACCGACGCGCGCCCTTGGACCAACGCGCGCGCCAAGGCCAACGCGCGCGCCTGGACCAACGCGCGCGCCTTGACCAACGCGCGCGCCCTTGGACCAACGCGCGCGCCAAGGCCAACGCGCGCGCCTGGACCAACGCGCGCGCCTGGACCAACGCGCGCCCCTGGACCAACGCGCGCGCCTGGACCAACGCGCGCGCCTGGACCAACACGCGCGCCTGGACCAACGCGCGCCCCTAGACCAACGCGCGCCCCTGGACCAACGCGCGCCCCTGGACCAACACGTGCGCCTGGACCAACGCGCGCGCCTGGACCAACGCGCGCGCCTCGACCAACGCGAGCCCCTGGACCAACGCGCGCCCTTGGACCGACGCGCGCCCTTGGACCAACGCGCGCGCCTGGACCAACGCGCGCGCCAGGACCAACGCGCGCCCCTGGACCAACGCGCGCGCCTTGACCAGCGCGCGCGCCTGGACCAACGCGCGCGCCTGGACCAACGCGCGCCCCTGGACCATCGCACCCGCCTTGACCAACGCGCGCGCCTGGACCGATGCGCGCGCCTGGACCAACGCGCGCGCGCTTGGACCAACGCGCGCGCCTGGACCTACGCGCGCGCCTGGACCAACGCGCGCGCGCCTGGACCAACGCGCGCGCCGGACCAACGAGCGCGCCCGGACCAACGCGCGCGCCCGGACCAACGCGCGCGCCCGGACCAACGCGCGCCCCTGGACCAACGCGCGCGCCTAGACCAACGCGCGCCCCTGGACCAACGCGCGCCCCTGGACCAACGCGCGCGCCTGGACCAACGCGCGCGCCTGGACCAACGCGCGCGCGCCTGGACCAACGCGCGCGCCTGGACCAACGCGCGCGCCTGGACCAACGCGCGCGCCTGGACCAACGCGCGCGCCTCGACCAACGCGCGCGCCTCGACCAACGCGCGCGCCTGGACCAACGCGCGCGCCTGGACCAACGCGCGCGCCTGGACCAACGCGCGCCCCTGGACCAACGCGCGCGCCTGGACCAACGCGCGCGCCTGGACCAACGCGCGCGCCTGGACCATCGCGCGCGCCTGGACCAACGCGCGCCCCTGGACCAACGCGCGCCCCTGGACCAACGCGCGCCCGTGGACCAACGCGCGCCCCTGGACCAACGCGCGCGCCTAGACCAACGCGCGCGCCTGGACCAACGCGCGCGCCTGAACCAACGCGCGCGCCTGGACTAACGCGCGTGCCTTGGTCCGCGCGCGCGCCTTGGTCTGCGCGCGCGCTTTGGTGCGTGCGCGCGCCTTGGTCCGTGCGCGCGCCGCGGTCCGGGCGCGCGCGCCTCGGTCCGGGCGCGCGCGCCTTGGTCCGGGCGCGCGCGCCTTGGTCCGGGCGCGCGCGCCTTGGTCAGCGCGCGCGCGCCTTGGTCAGCGCGCGCGCCTTGGTCCGCGCGCGCGCCTTGGTCCGGGCGCGCGCCTTGGTCTGGTCCGTGCGCCTTGGTCCGTGCGCGCGCCTTGGTCCGGGCGCGCGCCTTGGTTTGGGCGCGCGCCTTGGTCCGCGGGCGCGCCTTGGTCCGTGGGCGCGCCTTGATTTGGGCGCACGCCTTGGTCCGGGCACGCTCCTTGGTCCGTGCGCGCGCCTTGGTCCGCGCGCGCGCTTTGCTCCACTCGCGGGACTTGAGCTCAACATGCAGACAAGAGCACAGAGCCGTAATGCACAATCATGCACTCATGCACACTCAACTTCCTTTCTACCTGAGCTTCCACCAAACCGGACAAGCTGTAGCCCGCCACTTGGAAGAGGTCCGGGAGCTCCATGATGCGCCATGGCACTCGTGCAGGCAAGAGTGAACCATCCCACAGAACCGCACACAACTGCACAGGACCACACACAACCCGCACCCAACCGCTCACCTGTGCCTCAACCGAGCCTGACAGGCTGTATCCCGCCACTTGGAAGAGATCCGGGAGCTCCATGCTGCCCCAGCCCAGGTCCACCTTGGGATTGCCGAGCAGCTTGATGGGCCACGTGGGGTGAGAGGCGGAGAGGGTGTAGGTGCCTGCGGGTGGAGGGGATGGGGGAAGAGGGAGGGAGGAAAAAGAGGGAGGCGAGAAGAAGGAAGAAACGTGGGAGCAAGAAGGGGATGGATGGGAGAAGGGCCGTACCAACAAGCAGATCGGAGAAGCGAAAAGCACCACTCCCATCCGTCACTGCAGTCGCCATCACTAAAGTGATTTTTGCGTCCAGTCAGAAATGGCGATGGGAAGAGGGCTCTACCAACCAGCGGGTCTATTTCTGAGGCGCTTCAAGAGTGCAGTTACAGCCACAAGCAGGCTGCAAGAACAAGCAGGAGACGATTTTTGAGGCGCCTCAAAAGTCCTACCAGCCAGCGGGTCTATTTCTGAGGCGCTTCAAGAGTGCAGTTTCAGCCACAAGCAGGCTGCAAGAACAAGCAGGAGACGATTTTTGAGGCGCCTCAAAAGTCCTACCAGCCAGCGGGTCTATTTCTGAGGCGCTTCAAGAGTGCAGTTACAGCCACAAGCAGGCTGCAAGAACAAGCAGGAGACGATTTTTGAGGCGCCTCAAAAGTCCTACCAGCCAGCGGGTCTATTTCTGAGGCGCTTCAAGAGTGCAGTCATACCTACAAGCAGGCTGCAAGAGCAAGCAGGAGCGGTGAGTGTGTAACAGAGTCATACCAACAAGCAGGTCGGAGAAGCGGAAGGCACCACTCCCGTCCGTCACGGCTGTCGCCACCACCGCCGCCGCCCCCTTGCCCTCCCCGCCCTCACTGGCATTCTCACACAGCACAAAGTCTTTCTTACCAACCAGAAGGTCGGAGAAGTGGAAGGCACCACTCCCGTCCGTCGCTGCTGTCGCCACCACCGCCGCCGCCCCCTTGCCCTCCCCGCCCTAACTGGCATTCTCACACAGCAAAAGTCTTTCTTACCAACCAGAAGGTCGGAGAAGTGGAAGGCACCACTCCCGTCCGTCGCTGCTGTCGCCACCACCGCCGCCGCCCCCTTGCCCTCCCCGCCCGCCGCCTACCCGCCCTCATTGCCAGCCCTCGTTACAGTCACAGTCACACCCGCAGGGCCCTTGGCCTGGGGGCCACAGCAGGGGCTGTCGGGAGGGACCGAGCACCTACAAGGTGACTTTTGAGTTGACTCAAGAGAGGGGATGGATGGGAACAGGGTCATACCAACAAGCAGGTCGGAGAAGCGGAAACCCCCGGTTCCATCTGTCACTGCAGTCGCCACCACCTCTGCGTCCCCCTTGCTCTCTCCCCCCTCACTGCCAGCCCTCGTTACAGTCACAGTCACGCCCGCAGGGCCCTTGGCCTGGGCGGCACAGGAGGGGCTCTCGGGACCGAGCACCTTTCCAGCCAATCCAAAGCTGCCACGAAGGACGGGAGAGGGATGCAGTGGACCGGGAATGAATGGCTGGGATTGCAGCAGAGCAGTGGTAAAATCACATCATAAGGGCAGCACTCGATCAATTGCCGCAACACAAGCACAGCCGCATATCAGGTGCCACCGACGCGCTTCCGGCTCAAGTCAGGGGGACAGCTGCGGCACCATAGACAACCAAAGCCAGTCCCCCACTCCCTTTGATGGACAGCTGTGATGGAAATTGACGTCCTTATTGCCATTGCACGCCTCTGAATCGACTGTCACTGACACTCTCTCCCAAACAGCACCGAGAGTTCAATCAAAGCGCCATCCCATCCCCCCCCGCTCACCCCTTGTGGTGGAAGTTGACGCCTTTTTTTGCATTGCACGCCTCCCCGTCAACTGTCACTGACACGCTCTCCGGCTCGAACGACCACCCAGGGGATTGTTTTACGTGCCTGAAACGCCAAGAGCTCAAGCTCCCCTTTCCCCTCCGTACCCCCCCTTAATCCCTCACCCCTTGTAATGGAAGTTGACGTCCTTATTGCCATTGCACGCCTCCCCATCGACTGTCACTGATAGGGGGGTTGCAGCCCCCCTATCCCCTCCATACCCCCCTTTCTTGCTCACCCCTTGTGATGGAAGTTGACATCCTTATTGCCATTGCACGCCTCCCCATCGACCGTCACCCACACACTCTCCGGCTTCAACCAACAAGCTCGCCTTGTGCAAGTTGCGCCACTCACCCCTCCCCCCTCCACGCCCTCTCACCCCTTGTGGTGAAAATTGACGTCCTTGTTGCCATTGCACGCCTCCCCATCGACCGTCACTGACACTCTCTCCGGCTCTAACGACCATCCAGGGGGGGCTAGAGAGCGCCTCAACCACCAAGTGTTGACTTGAAGCCCCCTTTCGCCTGTTCCCCCTTCCTTTATCCCCCTTCCCCCCCCACTCACCCGTTGTGGTGGAAGTTGACGTCCCTGTTGCCATTGCACGCCTACCCATCGACTGTCACTGATATGCTCTCCAGGCCAAATCACCACCCAGAGGGGGGTGTTTTAGGCGCCTCGAACATCGAGGGTTGCAGCCCCCCTATCCCCTGCTTACCCCCCTTTCTTGCTCACCCCTTGTGGTGGAAGTTGACGTCCCTGTTGCCATTGCACGCCTCCCCATCAACCGTCACCGACACGCTTTCCGGTTCGAACGACCACCCAGGGGGACCTCTCACTGCCAGCTCGAACGTTCCCTGTGGTTGTAACGAGAGAGAGATTTGACACAATGTGTGACTGTAAGGGGGGAGCACGGGGCATGTTGCAATAGAAGATGAATGCAGTCAACTGCCACGTATACACTCTCCAGCTCACACGACCATCCCGGGGGGCCCCGCAAGGCCAGCTCAAACGTTACCTGTGGTTGTAAAAAGGAAATGGGGGCAGCACACGGGGCACAGAGGAATTATGAGGGAGGACAGGGCGTGTCATCTCGGGAATGTCACATCACCTTGGGAATGTCACATCACATTGGGAATGTCACATCACCTTGGGAATGTCACATCACCTTGGGAATGTCACATCACCTTGGGAATGTCACATCACCTTGGGAATGTCACATCACCTTGGGATGTCACATCACCCTTGGCAGAATGACCCACCTGGGTATAGACCGGCAGGAAATAATAGCCGTTGGGCGCACAGTGCGCTTGCTCCTTCACCATGCCCTCCTGCGTGCGCAGCTCCACCTGCCAGCATGGGAGGAAGAGGGGATGGGGTAGGGAACACGGATGCAGTGAGAAGAACAGGCTAACAACCATGGGGTGAAAACGGGCTTTCAAATTCCGAAGCGAAATCGGTGGAGCAAAAAATAAAACCTGCAATGTCCTTACGGGATCTGGAGCGTGCCTTCATGCACAGGTGCTCCACCGCACTGCACCGCACCGCACCACATCACTAGTCACACCTTCTCAAACGACACCAAACCACACCATGCCCCACCACACCAGACAGAACCACGCTGCACCAAACTGCACAGGACTGTACCACAAGGCGTGAGTAGTCGAGCGAGGCATCGGAGTCTGCACGCAGCGACGCGAGCTGCCTGCTGGCCTGGCGACGGTCAGAGGTGGGCGGGGAGGGATGAGGGAATCAGGAGGCATGCGACTTTGGGAGTCTACTTTAAAGGCGCCTCAAAATCAGGAAATGGGGAAGAATGCGAGCGACATTTCAGTCGACTAACATTATGCGAGAGTCACAGCGATGAGCGCGAAGTGGGGAGACGCGGCGCGAGATCCTCGCATTTATATCATACGGTACTAACCTTACCGTGCCAGAAAGAATTCGCTAAACATGCAACGCGGAATAAAATCCGATCGTATCTGCAGATTGCGTGAACTATCGCATCGGATCCCGATCCACTTTGTCACCTAGCGAGAAATGGCAATCCACTTACTCCGCGCATTACAAATCGTGGCGCATAATACTCACTTACGAGCATATTATCAGCCTGACTGTGTCTTGAAAACGTCTTACAAAACTGACACGTCCTTGACGAGCAAATCATGAGCCTACCTGGACAAAACCTCCGCATCCAATCACGTCCGCTGCCACGCCACTCTCTCCCAACTGCCACATCAGCACGATGCTGACGACGGCAAAGCGGATCCACGACGGCCAGATCCGTTGCGAAACTGCATCGCGCGACGCGGGACGCATCGCGAGTCGTTCGTCAGATCTGATCCTCGAACCGGGTATTGCGCGCGTGACTGCGCTCTAACCTTGGCCTGAGCGTTGGATGCGGCGCGGATTCCGGAGGCTCTGACAATGCCTTTGTCGAAAGGCGCGAAGCGCTCAGAGAAGCAGGCCTGTCAGGACCTCGGATCGGATCAGTGCCTAGTAAGAGAGAACAAAAACTTGTGCGGGATTTGGAGATTCGGTCATATTTGGTGAAAGTGTACACTTTAGTGGCAGCAAACCAGGGGACCAATATGCTCACCAAGACGGTATGCAAATTCTTCAGCACCAGCATGTAACTAATAGGCTATCTAATGTATGCTAAAAGGCGCCTTTATAAAATTTGATGTGAATATGCGTATTCTAAGCCAATTTATTTTTGAGAATTTAAGATGCGTAGTTCATATACCTTTCTAGAAAACACAAGATGCGGAATTTCTTTGCGGGGCGTTCATAATTTGAAAGAATGAATATTTCATTATGAATCAACCCATAAATCGTTCCTTGTGCAACGTGTAAACACGTTTTGTTTAGTACGTTCTTTTGTTGAATATATCCGTTCTGCTGATAGTTCTGATTTAGTAACATCTATGCGTGTAAAATGTTGGAAACAATTGACTTAAGCGCCTCTGTCGTGTCGAAACATTAAGTCATAAGCGAAGCCGAACATATCGAAGCATCAGCGAGTCAACCCTCGGAGGTTGAGCAACTGATGGAGGTTACGAGAAAGTCAAAGGTCAGCGACCTTTGACCTGACAACTACAGCGCGACAGCAAGGACAAACAACTGACTCGTTATTGAGTAGTTGCCCGAGTCGTCACTGTATCGAACCGCAACAGCAACAGCAAAACAGTTATTAGTTATAACCCTTCATATTCCCTTTTACTCTTATAAAAAGCGTGTATCTCTTTGTTTTAATTAATATACTTTGCCCTCACATACCAGCGCAAGGTGGTTCAAGTACTTCACTAAAACGATTCCGCTATTACATCATCCCTACCCAGAGTTTAGTCTTGTAAAGATCCTAAGGGCTTTCTCAGCCCAACATGGTATGAGAGCTATCAGGGCAAACTCAACTACTATCAAGACACCTACAACATCAAAAAGCATGGCTACTCAGAAGGAAAGGAGATCCTCTAATGGTTCTCCCGGCACTACCCCTACTCCACCTCCTGCCTCTGGCCTACAGACAGAGCAGGGTACGGCGACAAGACCAGCAGCAGAGTCCACCGAAACTCCTGCGAATCAACCTGCAGGCTTCGACCAGAACATGATAGAGAAGTTTTTCTCCTTCATGTCCTTCTACGAGCAACACCAGCAGTCGGCACCTGCGCAGTCAAACAACAGCAACAACAACAACGACGTGATGCCCATGAGTCTTGACGGCTCCTACGCACGCGGAAATCAACAGCAGCAGCCTACCTTTTCTCCGTACGAGCCCCAGCGCGGCTCCGTCAGTTTCATACCACACCCGCAGCATGCACCTGGACAAGAGAAAACACTGGACGCACTTCAAGTTCAGTCGCAGTTCGCGCACGTCTTAAAACTGCAAACGTCAAGGCCTTTTGACGGGAAGGACTTCTTTACCTGGTCGTTCGAGTTCGAACTAATGATGGAAGGCGCGCAGATTCTTGGCTTCTTCGACGGGTCCCTGCCATACCCAACACACGGCACACAGTACGACAAGCAACAGTACACGTACCAGTCAATGATGGCGTACACAATCCTACTGAGGAACATCACTCCGAATCAGCAGCAGAATATACGGTCTTACCGGGGATACGGCAACTCCGCAGAGCTCGCGTACAACCACCTGAAGAACCTGTATCAAGCAACAGACATCGTCAATCAGAGTCGGCTGATGGCGCAATTGACAACAGTGGAAATGAAACCGGGCGAAAAAGGGATGGCGTATATCAGTCGCTGTCGCGAGTTGCGCGACAAGCTTCTTCGATGCGGAGGAACGATATCCGAAGACGCCTTCGTCACGGTCATCATCGGCGGCCTTGGTCCGCAATGGCGCTCCACCCGAGCCATCCTCTGAGCCCATGGGAAAATCTCCGAAGCAGCTCTCTGCGCCGAGATTCACGCCGAACAGCAAGACATGGACCTTCAAGAAGAAAAACACAAGAGGAAGACGTCAGTGTCTGAGTTCGCTTTCCACACTCAACGGCGCTACAACAATAACAACCATCGGCAAAATAAGTACCAAGGACAACAACCCGTACCTCCGTTTTGTCATCTCTGCAAGACGTCAGGTCATCCCCGCACACACTGCCCTAACCGGCAGCAGTAGCACCAACGCAGCGGCAGCTTCGACCTTCAAGCAGTCAAGTCGCCTCAACGCAAGTAAATCCCACCACTCAAGTGCAAACGTCAACAACGTCGACGGGACAACCTGCACAAGGAACAAGGAACATCGTCAGCTGCATGGCAAGATTGACCGACTCCTGCATCACCGAATCACCGCCGCACTACTCACCAGAAGAACAACTCGACGAAAGGACTCCACGTCGCGAGTCACTGCAACCGAACCCAACGTACGCAGCCATCGCCCAAAGTGAACAGACTGGGAAGGATACCTGGTTCTTGGACAGTTGCTGCGGACAACACATGTGCTCTTCCGGTCGCTTCGTTCAACGGGAATACCAACTTCAGTGGGAAGTTGTCATCACCGTCGCCAACAACCAGAACCTGCGCACACGACGACAAGGCGTGGTGCAACTTCAGTCACGAGAGACAAAGGTCATATTACAGATGTCAAAAGTATTAATTGCAGAGGGACTCGGCTACAACTGACTAAGCGTCAGTCAACAGATGGCGAAGGGCATACACCTCGAAGCAGACAGCACCACTCAGGAGTTCAAATTATACCACGGAAAGGGTGGTCTCTACATCGGGAAGGCAGTCCTGAAAAATAACGTCTTCGTCCTCGACTTCGTCCCAGATCTTGGCACCGCTGACAACGACGGGATCGTCACCTTCACCTCCTGGACACATCCACAGGATCTCGACCCCGACTTCTGTCCCGAAGGCTTCTGGTACTCGCACACCATCCCTGAGGCAGAACGAACAAGAGCGTTAGCAACAATTCAACATTCGGCAGCAGCAGAGACAACATCGGCAGCAGCAGAGACAACATCGGCAGCAGCAGAAACAACATCGGCAGCAGCAGAGACAACACCGGCAGCAGCAGAGACAACAACGGCAGCAGCAGCGGCAACATGGACACCAATCGCTGGCCCTTCAACGACACCGATCCTCATCGACGACACTTCACCAACTCCTGCGCAGCAGCTGAACCCAACTCAACGGGAAGTCCATCGAAGCGCCAACTTCACCGCCAGCTTTTACTCCAACTCCGACCTATATCAGCGCTCACCCGGACATCGCGCCACCGAAGGAACCTGGCACGCAAGAATGGGACACCCAAGCAACACAATGTTAAACAGCACGATAAGAGCAGGCGTGCTCGACAAAGACTCACTACTACTAACCGACGGCAGAGAACTTTGGCGAGTCCGCGGAACGTGCTTCATCTGTCCAGAAGCCGACTTACCGCACCAGCCGTTCGTCTCGCATCACAATCCAAGCGCACCTGCATACGCACCTCTGGAAAAGGTGTACAGCGACATACTGTACAATCGCGAACCCGGGCAGAACGCATACAATTACACCATCACGTTCATCGATGCAGCCACACGCTACGTTTGGCACCTCAACCTTCCAAGAAAGGACATGGCCTTCGAAGCTTTCGTCGCCTGGCTTCCAGTGGCGGAACGAGAATCAGGCGTGAAACTCAAAAGCTTCCAGTCAGACGGAGGAGGAGAATACACCTCACAGAGGTTCAAGCAATACTTGGCAGAGAGAGGAATCAAGCGGATCATCTCCCTTCCCTACGCCCATCAGCAGCAAGGTGTAGCAGAAAGGATGAACAGGACCCTAAAAAACACCATGCGCAAGCTGCTACGTGGCATGCACTTGCCCAACCACCAGTGGCCCGAAGCAATGGACCACGCTGTGATGCTGCACAACTTGCTCTCGACATCATCGCTCCTGAACAACGCATCACCGCATCTGCTGTGGACAGGAAAACTGGGCAGCACAAAAATGTTAAAAGTTTTTGGCTGCATGGTACAGTATCGACCCCCATCTGCACGAACCGGCCGATTCTCTCAACGCACACAGTGGGGACTACACCTGGGCATTGAAAAACACTACAACGCATGGAAGATTTTCGACGTCGACACCAAGGAAACAGTAGCAGCACGTGATGTCATCTTCTACGAAAACCTCACCCTTTGGACATACCTTGCCAACGTGAGAGAAAACAACCCACACCTCTCGGGCGGATTTCTTGGCACCCGAGCCTTTGCTTCGGCAGAAGATGAAGCTGACTGGGACGAGCAGAACGTGGAAGGAGCCTCGGAGGAAGCCGGGCCTCTTCCCTACTGCTCGGTTGATGTCCCAATGGACGACGAAAATCCACGCGACAGCATCAACGCCGAAGTCTACTACCACTTCACCGACAACGGTTACGTTACACCTGCACATGTCAACACCGACGAAGCTGAACGCGTAGGACCAAATTTCAATCCTACACCAGAAGCGGGAGATGAAGCAGTCTATCCCGAAGACACAACACTCCCCCGCTACACACAGAGTGGCCTCCAGATACTTGGCCTCGTCACCGCGGTTCACGGCACAGCCGTTCCTAAGGAGCCTGCCACGGTTCAGCAGGCTCTGGGGGGGGAGCATAGGGAAAAATGGCGCGAAGCCATGGACAAGGAGCTGAAAGCACTGGAAGAACGGAACACCTGGAAAGTTGTTCCCATCGGCGTGGTACGAAACAAGACAGTACTCACCGGGAAATGGGTCTTCCGTGTGAAGACAAAGGCAGACGGCACCATCGACAAGTTTAAAGCGCGCTGGGTCGTACGCGGCTTCGACCAAGAACACGGACGCGACTTCACCGAAACATT